TCTCCTCTGGATTCTTTCCAAGGATTCTATATCCATTCTGTAATACGGTGATCAGAACTGAACTGTGTAATCCAGGTGAGGTCTCACAAGCGCTAGATATAATTTTAAGACAATCCTGCCCCACCACCTCGTACAAACGCCACTGGTTTTACCCTGTCACATGCAAAATGGCACACGTTTGTCACAAGAACATAAGAAAATAAGAGTTCGCAATAGACCGGTTGGCCTGTATTGTATAGCTCCTGTCGAGAGTTACTACCACTCTCTATCATCCATGAATTTATCCAGCCTCCCTTTGAAACTTTCCAGCGTTCCAGCACTTACTAAAAAGTTGCTAAGCTTGTTCCACTCGTCCACCACCCTATTTGTAAACCAGTTCCTTCCTATCTCCCTCCTAAACCTAAACTTATCCAATTTGAATCCGTTGTTCCGAGTCCTATCCTGCTCGGATATTATAAGAACTTTATCTATATCACCTTTATTGATTCCTTTCACCCACTTGAATACTTCTATCATATCTCCCCGCACTCTTCGTCTTTCTAGGGAATGCCAGTTTAGTTTCTTTAACCTATCCTGATATGGAAGGTTTCTAAGTCCCGGAATCATTTTCGTCATTCTTCGCTGCACCGACTCTAGTGAATTGATATCCATTCTATAATAAGGGCACCAGAACTGAACCGCATAATCGAGGTGCGGCCTGACTAGCGCAAGATGTAGTTGCAATAAGACCTCTGCACTCTTATTACTTACACTTCTAGATATAAAACCCAATACTCTGTTTGCCTTATTTCGAACATTAACGCACTGTTTTCTAGGCCGTAGGTCCGGGCTTACAAGTACCCCTAGGTCTCTTTCACAAGTCTACTTCTCTAGGTTGATGTTGTGAAAGCTGTATACATTGACAGTATTTGTTCTTCCAATATTAAGTATTTGACTTAAGATTCCTACTTACCATTACTCCCAAATCTCTCCGAAAGTGGCCAGACCCTTGTAGATGGCCTCTCTTACTATAGCTACATCTTTCCGAGCTAAACCTCCCCATACCAGGATGTAGGAAACGGGGTTATGATGATAATACTATAAAGACAGACAGACTAGTGGAGACAGACAGAGGGAGCAGGCCAGCCAGCTATAGTTCCCGTGACGTTACTGAGCAGAGGGAGCGTAAACTAGACCGCTGTCCGTCTGACCTGTCTCCTTTGACCTTGACCTAACCTAACCTTTAACGTAACGTAACAGAACCTATAACCTAACGTAACCAAACCTAACCTATAACCTAACTATAATGAGGTTAAATCTCATATGACGAGGTAAGGTCGGAGTTTACAGTAGTAGACTTGTAGAGTGAGGGAAGTGGGTAGCATGACTCGAGGGTGTGGAGATAACATTATATATTAACACAGGCTCAGTACAAGTGTAGTATATACAACACAAATGCGTGTTACAGCTTTATTTTACCAGTTCAATAGGGGTGATTAATGGGGGTTCGTACACAATATATAATAGACTATGATATTTTCCTATAACCTAACAAGTATAATGGGCACTTCCACTAAGTCGCTCGTTGGGGAGGTTCAGGGTCACCGACCACACAGCCAGCATTTACTTTTACACGTTGAGTCGATAGCACACCGTCGATGGACCGGGCTGAGACCTCGTTGCCCTTAGTGACGGACTTCTTCGATGAGACGACGAGCGGGACTGGAGACGTGTGATGCTGGTCCTTCAAGGTTACAAGAATAATCATCGTGAAAGGAGCTGCAGCGGCTTTATTCGAGATCTCCAGCCTGAAACCACACACAACGCTTCAGTGACGCCTGCTGGACCACCACTCCACGACCCCCTGACGGGGACACGATGATCCTCCCCATACTGGCCAGATATTATGTAAATAATATTGATAATGTGTTAAAGGAATATCCTTCCTTCCTTAGGCTTTAGTAAGCCCCTTTATAATATTTATACTGTATATACTTGTCACACTTGCCAGATGCTTCTGGTGTTATTGTACCTAGTGACAACACTAGGATCCTGCTTCCTCTATCAAGGAATGAAATATTGAAATTGAAAATTGAAATTGATCTCCAGCCGGCAGATGACCTCTCCTAATTAACACTAATCTGGGTGTGTCTAGACCGGCTATTAGGTCAGGTAACATAAGTGCTGGCTGGAGAGCAGCTCCTTGAATTAACATGTTCATGACGCCGGGTTAAGCTAATCACTTGGGTCAAGTCTTTATCTCACCTTAGTCACTGTAGGGTGTGTCACCTTCCGTGCTCCCCTGGTTACTGCTAAGTCTATGTTATACTACTGGCCTGGATGCTTTGGCCTGATAGATAAACATTATATAACCTAACCTATAACTTAGTGTAAACTATCTTCACGTAACCTAACCTATCCTCACCTAACCTAACCTAAACTCACTTACATAACATAACATAACCTAATATAACTTAACATAACGTAACAACTAACTAACTACCTTACATAACATAACATAACTAATATAACTAACATAACGTAACCTAACTAACCTAAACCAAACAAACCTAACATACCCCTTTGCAGAGAGAAGCGTTGAATATTGGTACTATTCCCTCTACCCTCTTCACAGTGCCACGGGATACAGGCTTTGAGTATTGGCACCATTCCCAGTCACCCCCAGACAGACACACACACAAATCTGACTTCTATGTTGCGTCAGCAATTCATCTTCCTCTCGCTTTTTTCCTTTCCTTTCTCTCAGATGTTTTACAAAGACCAAAGTAGAGACATTTTCCCTTTCATCTAGTTTGACTTCACAACTGTGTATGAATATGTCTCCCCTCTCCCCCCCCCATCCCCCCTCCCCTCCCCATCCTCCTCTCTTCCTCCTTCCCTCTTCCACTTTTATCACATATTCCCCATCCATGAATACCTGTAGATCAAAACATACAAGAGGGAGGAGAGTATGGTTGGGAGGAGCAGAGGAAAAAATATATGGGAAAGAATGTGAAGCAAAACAGAGAAGGTTGTGTATGTGTGTGTGTGTGTGTGTGTGTGTGTGTGTGTGTGTGTGTTTTGTATAAGTTCCCCGGAAATTTTAAAGGATCAGTCAACTAGCCAATCATGCACTCAGTCAACCAATCACCTAATCAACCAATCACTCACCCAACCACTCAGGACAGACACTTACGTAGTCCTAACAAGGTGGTGCTTCATAACAAGCTACACCAACTCTAATCGGTTTAAAATCAATCACCTTAATTGGCACTACAGGTATACGCTTCTCGGGGCTGGAAATATTTTAGGAATATGGTTAGTAAGGAGGAAGAGCTGGGGAAATTTTAAAGCTCTTAGGGGAATATAAAAAATTCTAAGGAAATTTCAGGAGTCAAGAGGAATTCTAAGGTATTATGCCGTAAGTCTCGATAAGGACTCTTACGTTCGTATTCTTATTAAGGTTGGAATAAGGTGATGTATATTTGAGTCGTTAAATAGGTGTGTGATAAGGGTGAGTTTTGTTTGTCAGGTGTTAAGATATAATCATCAATATGGCGGCAAAACAAAAACATGATAACACGAAGAAAATTTAAACACGAACATAAACACGATAACAGGAATATAACAAAACATGGCAACACGAACAACAAAACATAATAGCACGAACATACAAACATGCAAAAAAAATAAGATAACAGGAAGAAAATATAACACGAAAAGGTAATGCGGAAAAGTGAACGAACAGAAAACGAGCGACAAGATGGAGGAGGAGCCTTGTCTTGTCTTGTCTTGTCAGAATGTCCTCCAATTTTCTTCTTCGCCTGATCCTTCTCGTTCTTCCTGACTGTGGTGTGTCATACAGAGCAGGGGTAGGGTGTCTGAACCATCTGAGAGCTGGTGCAGGTGTCTGAACCATCTGAGAGCTGGTGCAGGTGTCTGAACCATCCGGGAGCTGGTGTAGGGTGTCTGAACCAACTGGGAGCTGGTGTAAGGTGTCTGAACCATCTGGGCTGGTGTAGGGTGTCTGAACCAACTGAAAGCTGGTGCAAGATGTCAGGACCATCTGAGCTGGTGTATATGTCTGGACCATCTGGGGCTGGTGCATGTCTGGACCATCTGGGAGCTGGTGTATATGTCTGGACCATCTGGGAGTCAATATGGCTGGACACCCGTGATAGAGAGTGTAGTAAAGGCTACAGCGAGTGTGAAAGAAAGAAGAGAAAGAAGAAAGAAAGAAAGAAAGAAAGAAAGAAAGAAGAAAGAGAAAGAAAAAGAAGAAGAAAGAAGAAAGAAAGAAGAGAAGAAGAAGAAGAAGAAGAAGAAGAAGAGAAGAAGAAGAAGAAGAAGAAGAAGAGAAAGAAGAGAAGAAGAAGAAAGAGAAAGAAAGAAAGAAAGAAAGAAAGAGAAAGAAAGAAAGAAAGAAAGAAAAGAAGAAAGAAAGAAGAAGAAGAAGAAGAAAGAAGAAAGAAGAAAGAAAGAAGAGAAAGAAGAAGAGAAGAAGAAGAAAGAAGAAGAAAGAAGAAGAAGAGAGAAGAAGAAGAAGAAGAAGAAAGAGAAGAAGAGAAGAAGAGAAAGAAGAAGAAGAAGAAAGAAGAAGAAGAAGAAGAAGAAGGAAAGAAGAAGAAGAAGAAGAAGAAGAAGAGAAGAAGGAGAGAAGAAGGAAAGAAAGAAGAAGAGAAAGAAAGAAGAAAAGAAAGAAAGAAAAGAAAAGAAAGAAAGAAAGAAAGAAGAGAAGAAGAAGAAAGAAAGAAGAAAGAAAGAAGAAGAAGAAAGAAGAAAGAAAGAAAGAAAGAAAGAAAGAAAGAAAGAAGAAAGAAGAAAGGTTGGATTGGGTTGTTTGAGGTTAGGTTAAAATGTGATGGATGCATGACGACATGTTGGAGGGGGAGACACGGGTACAGCTATCTTTCCTCATTACTGCCACCTGTTAGGTTATAATGTAATTGCCGTCATTATGTAAAGTATTTAAGACTGTATATTAGATTAGCAGGTGTGGCTCCAGCAGGTGTGGCACTAGCATGTGTACTGATGGGTCTGCCATCAGGTGTGGTTCAGTAGGTGTGTCTCCAGTAAGTTGCTCCGGTAGGTGTGGCTCCAGTAGATGTGGCTCCAGCAGGTGTGGCTCCATCAGGCGTGACAAGAGGTGTGGCTCAGTAGGTGTGACTCCAGCAGGTTTGGCTCCAGTAGGTGTGTCTCAGTAAGTTTGGCTCCGGTAGGTGTGTCTCCAGTAAGTTTGGCCCGGTAGGTGTGGCTCCAGAAGTGTGGCTCCAGCAGGTGTGGCTCCATCAGGCGTGGCATCAGTAGGTGTGGCTCCAGTAGGTGTGACTCCAGCAGGTGTGGCTCAGTAGGTGTGGTATCAACAGGTGTGGCTCAGCAGGTGTGGCTCAGTGGGGTGTGGCATCAGCAGGTGTGACTCCAGCAGGTGTAGCTCCAGCAGGTGTGGCTCCAGCAGGTGTAGCCAGTAGGTGTGGCTCCAGCTGGTATAGCTCCAGCAGGTGTGGCTCCAGCAGGTGTGGCATCAGTAGGTGTGACTCAGTAGGTGTGGCTCCAGCAGGTGTAGCTCAGTAGGTGTGGCTCCAGCAGGTGGAGCATCAGCAGGTATAGCTCAGTAGGTGTGGAGGAGACAACAGGCTAAATAATTGAATGACGCAGACACCTCCACCTAAGTCCCCGGCCTTTATCGCTGCCATTGTGTCCATTATTTTATATCATTTAACGCCACACTCATTATGGGTGATGGTGCACGTCGATAGGACAGGAGGAGGAGGAAAGTAGAAGGAGGAGGAGGAGGAGGAGGTAGAGAAGGAGGAGGTAGAGGAGGAAGGAGAAGTAGGGGAGGAGGAGGGAAAGTAGAGGAGGAGGAAGAAGAGGTGGATGTGAGGAGAAGGAGGAAGATAGAGAAAGAAAGATTTAGAGAAGGAGGAGGGAAAGTAGAGGAGGAAGAGGAAGAGGTGGATGTGAGAGAAGAAGGAAGAGGTAGAGAAAGGGAAAAGAGTGAGAAGGAGGAGGAAAGTGGGGAGGAAGAGGAAGAGGTGGATGTGAGGAGGTAGAGAAGGAGGTGGAGGGAGGGAGGAGGAGATGGGGTGAGGAATGAGAGGAAGGCAGAGACGGGGGAAGGAGGAGGAGGAGGAGGAGGAGGAAGAAGGGGTAAGGAGGAGATTAGAAGGAGGAAATGAGGTTGGATGATGGAAGAGGCATAGAAGGAGGAGGAGGAGGTGGAGGTAGAGGAAGAGGCGGAGGTAAGAATGAAGAGGAGGTGGAGGAGGAGGTGGAGGAGCAGGAAGTGGTAGAGGAGTTGGAAGTGGAAGTAGAGGAGGAGGATTAGAGAAGGAAGAAGGAGGTGGAGAATAAGGAGGAGGAGGAGGAGGGATGAGGTATGTGGAGGAGGGAGGTAGAAAGGAGGTGGTGCATGAGGGGAGGAGGAGGAGGACAAGAGGAGGAGGAGGTGAGGAGGAGGCACGTACTGTGTGTACACATCAAGATTAAGATCGTGTTATGGAACATCAACAAGAACAAACTGTACATCAAGAACACTGAGTGTACATCAAGAACACTGGCTGTACATCAGGAAAACTGGCTTTACATCAAGAACACTGACTGTACATCAAGAACACTGGCTGCACATCAAGAACACTGGCTGTACATCAAAACACTGGCTGTACATCAAAAACACTGACTGTACATCAAGAACACTGCTGTACATCAAGAACACTGGCTGTACATCAAGAACACTGACTGTACATCAAGAACAATGGCTGTACATCAAGAAAAACACTGGCTGTACATCAAGAACACTGACTGTACATCAAGAACAATGGCTGTACATCAAGAAGAACACTGGCTGTACATCAAGAACACTGACTGTTCATCAAGAACAATGGCTGTACATCCAAGAAGAACACTGACTGTACATCAAGAAGAACACTGGCTGTACATCGAAGAACACTGACTGTACATCAAGAAGAACACTGACTGTACATCAAAAGAACTGACTGTATATCAAGAACACTGACTGTACATCAAGAACACTGACTGTACATCAAGAACAATGGCTGTACATCAAGAAGAACACTGGCTGTACATCAAGAACACTGACTGTTCATCAAGAACAATGGCTGTATCAAGAAGAACACTGACTGTACATCAAGAAGAACACTGGCTGTACATCAAGAAGAACACTGACTGTACATCAAGAACACTGGCTGTACATAAAGAAGAACACTGACTGTACATCAAGAACACTGACTGTACATCAAGAAGAACACTGACCGTACATCAAGAACATTGGCTATACATCAAGAAGAACACTGGCTGTACATCAAGAAGAACATGACTGTACATCAAGAACACTGACTGTACATCAAGAAGAACACTGACTGTACATCAAGAACACTGGCTGTACATCAAGAAGAACACTGACTGTACATCAAGAACATTGGCTATACATCAAGAACACTGGCTGTACATCAAGAACACTGACTGTACATCAAGAACACTGACTGTACATCAAGAAGAACACTGACTGTACATCAGAAGAACACTAACTGTACATCAAGAACACTGGCTGTACATCAAGAAGAACACTGGCTGTACATCAAGAATATTGGCTTTACATCAAGAACACTGACTGTACATCAAGAAGAACATGGCTGTACATCAAGAAGAACACTGGCTGTACATCAAGAACACCGGCTGCATCAAGAAGAACACTGGCAGTACATCAAGAAGAACACTGGCTGTACATCAAGAAGAACACTGGCTGTACATCAAGAATATTGGCTTTACATCAAGAACACTGACTGTACATCAAGAACACTGGCTGTACATCAAGAAGAACACTGGCTGTACATCAAGAAGAACACTGGCTGCATCAAAAACACCGGCTGTACATCAAGAATACCGGCTGTACATCAAGAAGAACACTGACAGTACATCAAGAAGAACACTGGCACATCAAAAGAACACTGTGTACATCAAGAAGAACACCGGCTGTACACCAAGAACATGACTGTACATCAAGAAGAACACTGACTGTACATCAGAACACTGACTGTACATCAGAAGAACACTGACTGTACATCAAGAAGAACACTGACTGTACATCAAGAAGAACACTGACTGTACATCAAGAACTTGGCTATACATCAAGAAGAACACTGGCTGTACATCAAGAACACTGACTGTACATCAAGAACACTGACTGTACATCAGAAGAACACGACTTGTACATCAAGAAGAACACTAACTGTACATCAAGAACACTGGCTGTACATCAAGAACACTGACTGTACATCAAGAACACTGACTGTACATCAAGAACACTGACTGTACATCAAGAACACTGACTGTACATCAAGAAGAACACTGACTGTACATCAAGAAGAACACTGACTGTACATCAAGAACACTGGCTGTACATCAGAG